TAGAATGTATTAGAATATTGTTTAATTTGTAATATTTTAAATACTCCATGTTCGTTTGCCTTTTTTTTTTATACTTTGATTTTTAGTATTTATATATTGAAGTTTGACTAAATTTGAATTCGCGTAAAAAAGTCCACATTGAGTGTCCCGCAGTTATATTAGAGTCTGACTATATCATAACTCTCTTTAAAAGAGTAACTTTCACATATAGCAAATATAAAAATTATATTTGTATGTTATACCTATAGTTTGCATAATTGCGCTCCATAGCAAATTTTATGTTTGCTATGGAGCTTTTGATTTGTATAATTCGCTAGATACATCCAATTTTATACAAATTGTTCAGTTTTGTAGAAATTCATTTATACATTGTAATTTGTATAATGAGATATGTATTTGTATAATTATAAGTGTATATGACGAAAAAATATATATATTTGTATTCGTATATACACTTTTTTCCCGCTTTATACAAACACAAACGCATTTTATACATTTTATACCGAAATGTATAAAATAACTAATTATATATCAAACATTGCTAATTATATACCGAATCAGATGACAAAAAAATAAAATATTTACTGTGAATTACAAATAAAATATGTTATCTAGCCAAACTTTTTGACCAAAAGAATTTTTCCTTATATTGAAGTTATACTAAATTCAAATTTGCGTCCAAAAATATACTTTTAACACCAACCATAACCGTTGTTGGTTACGTAGCTTTCTTTTGTTTCCCTTAATACAATGATCACTCCATTGTCGACACAGACATCTTTTTTAACTTCCATGAATTTTCTAACTATTAATTACGTGTTGTATTCATTTTCTTCTTCACAACTCAAATCCGCCATTTCTGTGTAGCTAAAAAAGCTCGTTACAAAAATGGCGAATTCCGGTCCTCTGAACCCAAACCCAGTTCCGAACTCCGATCGTCTCGAACAACTGAAACAATTCGACGAGTCGAAAATCGGAGTTAAAGGTCTTGTTGATAAGGGACTTACTACCATACCCAGTTTCTTCATCCATTCGGAAGAACCAAACCCGGAACCCAAAACCCGACCCGGTAACAATCACTCCATACCCGTCGTCGACTTCTCTGCTCCTCGGGAAACGGTCGTTGAACAAGTTCATCGTGCTTCAACGAGCTTAGGGTTCTTCCAGATTATCAATCATTCTGTTCCGGTCAACGCTATAAACAGAATTGTAGGTTCGATTAAGTCGTTTAACGAACAGAATGATGAATTGAAGATGAAGTATTATAGTAGGGATATTACTCGTGGAGCAGCGTATTCTACGAATTTTGATTTGTACAACTCGAAAGCTGCAAGCTGGAGGGATACGTTGCAGGTGAGGTTGACGCCTACTCCGTCGGATTGGGAGTATGTGCCGGAGGTGTGTAGGGAGGCGATTGTTGAGTGGGATAAGGAAGTGGTGAAAATTGGGGAAGAATTGATGGGTTTATTGTGTGAAGGGTTAGGAGTGGAAAAGGATAGATTGAAGGAATTGTCTTGTTTGGATGGAAGAGTTATGGCTGCACATTACTATCCTTATTGTCCACAGCCGGAGTTGACGAAAGGGCTGACGCCACATACAGATCCCGGTGTGTTAACGGTGTTGGTGCAGAATGAAATGACTGGATTGCAAGTGAAATTTGGGGAAGAATGGGTGGATTTGAAGCCGATTCCGGGGGCTATTGTGATTAATATTGGTGATATTCTTCAGGTATACTCTGTTACTTGCTTGTACTTAGATTTGTGTAGTATAATTTGCATGCTTGGAGGATATGGTTTATGGTTTGTTTAGCACATGGGTTGGCCTCGTTACTATTCTTTACTTAAATATATCAACTTGGTTTGGTTCATAGCATGAATGTTAAAAGGGGTCGTTTGGTAGCTGGTTAGAGTTATGCAAGTATTAGTTATTAATAAGATAATATACAAATTTTATCATAATTTACACATTAGTTATGCGGTTTCTAATTGCAAATCAAATATCGTATTAGTTTTATATATGGATAACTTATTTCCTAACTAGCTACCAATTGTTGTTATACTGAAATTAGTACATGAATAAGTTGCTTCTTTACCTACCATAAATATGTGCTAGTTGAACCAAGGCCCTGGGAATTGGGATGAGTCTAATCCAATAAGTTGAATGGTGTTTTCTGCTTGAGATGAGTTTGATCGAATCCACAAACATATATGACGATAAGCAAATTGGATCGAAATTAATTAAAAAATGCAAACTTATAAGATTATTTGTGTCAATTCTTTTTAGGACAAGGTTAAGCCAATTCCTAAACTTTTGACTTTTAGGTTAAAAAATTGTCCTAGGTGGTTAGTAAATCTTTGACGAATGAATTTTATCAAGCTTGTGAGCTTCCTGGGTGAATTTAGTCATGCTCTCATTTGGCTGTGTGAAACTCAAAGCAGATTTAGCTGTTGGTCTTGGACCAGGATTGATTCGAAAAATGCAAAATGTGGACTTTATCCAAGTTCAGATTCAATTCTTTTAGGATAAGTTAAGACCATTTCCTGAACTTAAGTGACCATTTAGGTAAAAAGCGTGTCCGATGTCTATGTTGTATTCTGCTCTTCTTTTAGCATATAGGTATGCTTGACTCGTTTATGCGCGATTGATAGTTATCTTTCATTGTGGTTTTCGGTTTCTGATTATAAAACCTATGGGTGCTTGATGGAAGAGGTGATGAGGGGGTGAGTGGTGACTAATGAAAGATCTTGGTAGGTGAAAGAACTCTTTAAAATAGCTAGTTGCTTATGAAAAGTCCTACATGAGACAGCCTCAATGCCATTTAAACAGGTTATTCTGTTTATGTTTTGTTGGATAAGCATATACAGTTTCCAAAAATGATGGTGATGTTGCATATTTGTTTTTGATGAAGACTTTGATTCTTAATATTTCAACCAAATAATTGTCATTTTATAGACCTATCTTATAATTTCTCCCTTGAGCTCCATCTCCTATATACTCTTTCCTTGTTGAGAAGTGTTATTTTGGGTGAGTCACAACCAACAAAAAATGGGTGAGGGCGTCTACAGCTTTTGACAATTAGTTTGGTGGGCTCAGTTACTGACACTTGAGTTAATGTGGGAAAGATTTTGAGGGGCAATTGTGTTTTTAACCATGCTAATGCGTGCATTAAAACCTCTTGCATTGCTCATACCATGATTTTTCATGTATTAGTTATACATAGCATAACACCAAATAGACTGTATACATAGATTGAAAATGTGTACCAAACAACAAAGTATTAATAGGCACCCAAGGGTGTGGCCTAGTAGTAGCCAATGAAATGGTTGAGAACCATGAGGTCTCAGGTTTCAATTCCCAGCATAGACTAAAGACACTAGGTGATTCTTTCCATTTGTCCTAGCCTCGGTGGACAAAGTTACTTGATATCTGTTGCTGGTGGCAGGCATCCCGGGGTAGTAATGGTAGACACAACTGAGACCAAAATGCTGTGTCAAGAACAACTATCAATATGCTTAATTTTGACTTTTGCTGGTGCTTTTTTCCTGAACATAGTCTAGTTCAATGTCTATCTTTTTTGTTTCTCATGCTTCCTCAGAACAATATGTATCATGATGAATCGACTTCACTTTTACAGATAATATCGAATGATGAATACAAGAGTGTGGTGCACCGAGTTCTAGCCAACCCTTTTCAAGAACCCCGCGTATCAGTTGCCATCTTCTTGAACCCAGGCCAAAGAGAGAACTCATTTGGACCTCTCCCTGAACTAATATCAGATGAAAAGCCAGCCGTTTACCGCAAATTCATGTACAAGGATTACATGGGGAGATTCTTTTCAAAGGAGTTGGATGGGAAGACTTTGACAAATTACTACAGGGTTTCAAATCAAATATAACAACATCTTTATATATGTGTGATGCATCAAATTACTGTTCCTACACATGTTGTGGAATAAGAATACTGTAAAGTAGAAAATTTCATCAAACATATATATGCTTGTAAATGTTCTATACTTTAAACGATATCTATAATATCTGTCTTGATTCTCTTTAATTGGTTTATTGTCGTTATAAGTTATAGCACGTGCCTCGCCCAGGGTATGTTTGCACCGATAATACGATGGATGGTAATATTGATCCTTTTCCCCAAACAATTCTATTTTTATACAACATTTACATTTTCATGAACCTAAATTTATTGAAATATCTAAGTTTTATTCTGACATGATATATTTTACTATATTGCATTGATATTTTCTTCACTATAAATAATATAGTATATGTACGTCAAAATTAACATTCTCAAATTTTATTTGACTTACCATCAATCATTTGATTCCAAAAATCAAGAGAAATAAAATATTACGAAAGAGAACAAAAAATACATAATTGCTGCAATTGTTGGTGCATCAACATCATAGCTTTTTTTAAAATTATTTTGAAGAAAGAAACTATAATTGCAATATTTCCAATCATAGTTACTTTTCAATTAATTTATAACTATAATAATAAAATAACATCACCGTGTCATTTTTTTCTTGTCTCCTTACTTGATTAGGACTAGTTGAATAACAACGTTTTTCTAATTATATTAGTCATACTCTTATTTGAAGTATATCCCACAATAATAATGCATCAGATTAAATATACAAGTAATTCATGAAAACATTTTACATACTTCATGTTCTGTTTCAATGTTTCAACCTTGTAAATATCTTTATTGGATCTATATTAATACAACACGATAAAGTGAGGAATAATAATTGATAATATGGCCCGTAAGGACGATCAAGTTAGTCTAGCATGTGATATGTCTCCTAAACATGATTTTTCCGTTGAGCTCGTTGCACGAAGTTTATAAATGGTACTATGGTCACGTTATATCGACAAAGGACCCACCTCAAAGACAAATTATTGTGATATTTTTGCTAAATGTATGGAGCTACACAAGTGTGAAACATATTATATAGACTATGTAACCAATTGTTAGTGTATAACTTTTGACTAGTAATTGATTGCCATAGTATAACAACTACTGTTTAATCGAATCTCTAAATTTTCACATTATTCTAATCAATTAATCACATTTGTAATATGGTTTAATTGAGAATATATTTCTTTGTATTTTGAAATCAAGCACTAATATCCCTACAATATGAATATTCTATGCTTATTATAGCCCCCCATGAGACATTCGAATTAAGATTCTATTTGTTTATACTTAATAAAGATCTTAATCTTTATTGATCATTGTTCAGATCTTACTCCTTAAACATATCATTTCTAAGGTCAAGATTTTAACCATGATTAAGATTTATAATAAAATTTTAATATCATTAATTCAAAGTTTCTACAGAAATGACAATTCATCGTTATTCCATTTACTTTGATGATCACTAATTAACTGCGACCATTGTTGTTTACCATTATAAAATACCACCATGCTCAGCCAATATTAAACCATCACCATAGAAAATTTATCACAATTAATCATCATCATAGTCATCATCAACTACCGTCAGCTATCACTATCATCCATCACAATTATCAGCCACACCACCACCATGATCAATACCAACATCAATCACCACAATCAACATTCATTATCACAAGTACCCACAATTGACAATTATCACCTTCAACCACGCACAACCATAAATCGCTCTAACAATCATCATTCTCAGCTATCATTATATATTCCAACCAACATTTACATTCACCTTCACCATTAGCTATCATTGCAATTCTCCACAATTATCAGACGACAACAATTATCATTAATCACTATTGTCAATCACTATCATTAACCAACATCATCCTTAATCTCTACATACTAACCGCCATATAATTTACTTAAAATGTTTTCTTAACCCAAAGTTAACGTTAACGTTTAACTTGTGTGGATGTACAGTTTGACCATAGAAAACACATGAAATTCACACTTATTATTTCATCTTTACATAACACATGAAATTCATGCATTTTATATGGTCAACTGTGCGTTAACACTAATTTAACGTTCAACGTTAATTTTGGTTACATAATTCCTTTTATTAAAACGGGGTTAACCTATTTATTTTCTTATTTAATTAATTTATTTGTTTAATTTAAACTTCACAAAGAAAATGTATATGATAAAACTTTTAAATCTCTTATAGTGTTAAACTCTTAATTAAACTAATGATATATAGAAGATAACAAAATGCATTTTAATTTCGTGATCTTAAAAACGATATATATAAATTAGTTGGAATTATATAGTTATACAAAAATGAAAAAGCCAATAATTTTTAAACGGATCAAAAAATAAAATATTGCCTTTTTTTTTATTAAGACAAATAAATCGAAACGAAATATGTTACTCCTCCTACACCTAATCCATATTAAGTGAATTGTTGGTTTATAAACACACCATTTAAGAAAGATATTTAAAGACAAAAATTAAGCTACTTTTCACAATTACCCTTTTAATTATTCTTAAATTATTCTCCTCAAAAATGCAAAATACTTAAGAATTTTATTGAAAAAAAGGGTATATATATATATATATAAAGTTTTTAACAATTCTCTTAGACTTAAAAAGTATCTTAATAATTCACTTAATATGAACTAGAAGGAGCATATTTGTTTATTTTGTGAATCTATTTTCATTATAAAAATAATTTTTGTTTTGCACTATTTTTGATTAGGATTCCACTTATAAAAAAAGATGTCCACTTTTGGTACAAAGCTAAATCTGACAAAGATTTTCTCGTCAACTTGGGCATTAAAATGATGATGTATAGAATCCCAAAAGTAGATATGCCAATAACTCAACTATCACATGAAATCGCGAAACGATTGAGATTTTTTTATTCTTAATTAGAGCTATTAAATTTATGTCTGAATAAAGGTTTGGGTTGATTGTTTAATTATTTTAATTAAAATTAAATTAATTTAATAATTTTTAAATAATTAAAAACCAAATTATATTTATATTTATCTATTTGGTTAGTGTCGATTTGTTTTATTTAATTCGATTTTCAAACACCGTACAAAGGGGCAACGTGGCAAGCACCCAGATGCTTAATCTGTAGCTGACGGCCGCCGACTAATCTCAACCGCCTTAGCTGCCTCTCAGCCACGTCACGGTTTTCATTTTTTATTTTTTATTTTAACTTTAATTTCTTACAAATATTTTTCGGAGATATATAATCAGAGTCGATAATCTTTTGAAAATAATATGTCTATTAATATTTTATTATTTTCACATTTTATTCGTACAATTATATCAAAATATATTATTACTGTTATTATATCTAGAAAAACTTGTCATAAAAATATAAGTATATCAATTAAATCCTAATTATATCATCCTTCTCATTATATTTTTTTTTCAAGAAAAAGATATACACTTCGTTGACAAAACCATAATACTAAATAAAAGGAAAATAGTAGCTATTCAATCTGAATTTAATTAAGTTGCCTTAATACTTTACTTTATATTTTTTAGTACTTTAGGAGTGGGTTGGTTGGGATACAAAAATTACATAAACAACTTGATTTCCTCCCATTTTTAAATTAATTGTCTCCTAAATGACCAAGTTTACAAATGATGATAGAAATAAAGCAACAAAACATATTACTCCCTTCCGTCCAAAATAAGTAATCGTTCGTTTGAATTAACTTAATTTAAGTGTTTTAATTAAAAATAATTTTTAATTATTTTTGGAGTGTTTTGATAAATTTTAAAAATGAAATTTATATAAGTATTTAATTTAAAGTTAAAATGTTAAAAATAAGTCAAAATTCATTAACTTATAACTTTTGGCTTATAGTAAAAAATGATAAGTCAATCCAAACAGACTCTAAATTTCTTTCTATTTAATTAAAATAAATGAATTTCTCACTCAAAAGTTAATAAAAAAAATTCCCAAGGTTACCCTTTTCTCTTTGACCCTTTAATCAACGTAATTAATTAGCTTTTTTAAAGAGATATGTCACAACTCACCGTCTAAAAATGCACTAATTTGAACGGGAAAAAGTAATAAATTATTTAATTGAATTAGTCAAAAGAAGTTGAAAAGAGCGGCCTTAATTAAGATAATCATCAAAGCAAAGAAGCAATGTGATAGATACCTAAATAATGATTATTATTTCAAATATAATTATCCAACCACACATAATAAAATAATCTAAAGGTAATTATGTAAGCCAACATGTCAATTTTATTGTATTTATACAAATATTAGAGGGGTCCTACAACGAGTAAAATTTACTAAATAAACTTAGTAATAATGTTAACATAATTAATCATATAGTATTAGCCAAGTCAAAAACGATGCGTGTAACAATAAATAATTGCACTGCCTTACTTTAAAAAAAAAGTAGTTACACGTGGCTGATTTTAATCTCTCACACTTTGAATAAATTGTTTTTGAAATAGAGTAATGATAGTTACATATATTATGAAAAATTATTAATTTCGTATTACCAAAATATCTAGGAAAAGAAAATTTTGATTGAGTATAATATTTAAAAATAGTTCTTTTTTAAGTATGTATTGTCAACTTTGGTTCTTCAAGTTTGTTAAAAGAGAGAAAAATTAAAATATTGTTGATTTTTTAATGCAAATTATTATTTTTTTCTTGAAATATTGACGGACTTAAAAATATCATTTCACTTGACTATAAATTTAGATATACTTTTGATCTGTCACATAATATAACAAGTGGTCTCAAACTATTGTAGAGGCATGTGACTTTTAATAAAACGTCGAGAGAAGTGTTGAAAATAATTTAGCGAGAATTTAGAGGTATATTTACTCATGTTTTTAACAAATTGTAACCATACACGTGGCTGAAAAACAATGCCACGTGGATGGGTAATTTGAAACGGCCGGCCGCCCCCCGCCAACAAACTTAACAGCGTTAAAATGCCACGTCATTTTTCTGCCTCACAATGACATGATAGTGACATGGCATCTTTTACACAAATTATTAATTTCGTATTTTACTAAAATATCTCAAGTAGAGTTGAAAGGGAAAAATATCTCATGTGCCAACTAAATGAGCTTTGGAATCTTGCACATTTTAATTAGATGCTAAATCAGATAGAGATTTTAATTTCATTAGATTATTATTAAAGTTTAAAATTATTAATAATATATATATAATAAAATTTTAAAATAAATATAAAGTTTGAATTAAATTTATTAGATTTGATCAAATTCGTATACCACACTTTAACTTCGTCTTTGATTTTGATATTGATATTTAGGTAGTCTGAGTGTGTTTGCCTGGTTGGCATGGAGGATGAGGTTCGGAGAAGATAGTATGTTTATGGATCCTACCCTTGTAAAGTATAGATATTGTTTTTGATAGCCCTTCGATTCAAGTAAAATCATAACCAAGCAGTTAAAAAAAAACAAAACAATAGAGATGAAGAAATCAAGATAAAAATACTAAAGAAAACATGATAAAACAATTAAAATCGAAACAATCACTGCTACAAAGTACTTGGATAATCAAAATGAGAAAAGTAGTAAATAGTAACAAAAATGGAGTACCAAGAAACTCTTTAGGGTAATACTACGATCACTAGTACGAAAGATTAGGCAATACAATTCTAAATTACCTAAAGTAATATCCTAATCTGTGTCATTCATAATTTCCTATCTCATAACATGTTCTTAAGAAACTGCAACTGCATCATATCGTATCTAATCATCTCCCCCTAATATTTATTTGACCTACCTCTAATATAAGCATCTACAACCAATTTTCCACACCTCTCCATTTGTGCATCCATACATCTCCGAACAATCTCAAAACCCTTGCTTTCTGCACCTTATCCTTTATCACAATCACTTAATCTATCTTATCTATATTCTTATTTTTAGTCTTATCTCTTCTAATATACCTATACATCCATTTCAATATTCTTATTTTCATAACTTTTAAATAATATTCCGCTCCTTTAAATTTTGGTGGCACCTTCTAACATCAATATGTCGTAGATGAGTCAAATTAAAGAATCATCTAAAGTGGACTGTTGAAAAGAGACATACATTTTCTCTTCTAACATATTTGACTGCAGCCACTGAATATTGAATTGGAAGTTGTCTTTGGGTTTAGGGCAATTTGACTTTCACACTAATCCAACTTAATAATAAATAATTACCATCATAGCAAAATAATTAATTTTATTTTAATTTGTTTGAGTGGACAAATAAAAGAAGAAGTTATTCCTAATATATTTAACAGGTTCAAATCATTTAATTTAATTATAATAAGTTTCATAAGCATAATCATTTGTTTTTACGTTATCTGAAAAACAAATCGTAAACATGGTGACCGTATACGATTTATACGCAATAATGTTATAAATTTATTTAAATTGATTGTCAAGCATCCATAGTTTGTTTTTTTTAATAATAATATTTCCTTTTTTTTGAGTGGGAAATTTAGAAATTTTGTAAAACTTCAAGGGCATTTTCGGCAATACAACCTGATATAGATCTCGTCATAGATGATAGATACGGTTCACCAAAAGGCGCCATCTTGCATTATTAATTTTCAAAAACACAATTTTCCTTTCACATTATTAAATACACCTTTGTCCAATTTTTAAAATATATTTATCGACAATTTTGTAATAATTATTTAAGATTATAAAATATAAAATATTTATATATATTTTACATATTCTTAATTTAAGATAATAAAGTTCACAACTTTCCTATACTAGATTTAAACAGGACACCAACATGGGTGATGATGTATTGATGGGAATGCTTCACCCTTTAACCAGAGGTCTTAGATTCAAGTCCTGAAACGCCAACCCCAAATGGGCCCTAAAAAAAGATTTAAACAGGACAAATACATTAAAACGAAGAGTACATAATAATAATAATTTTTAAAAAGGAATAATAATTTATTTTTCATTAGAAAAATCTAGAAAAAATAGAGACTCGTGAACAAACTATCAACCAACCATGTCATTTTCACCAATCTTTTTCTACCTATAAATACAACCCTCATACCTTCTGAATTTCCCAACTTAACACACAAAAAAACAGAAATTTTGTGTCCAAAAAATTACTATTAAATTTTGATATTTCTGTTATTAGCAGAGAAATGGAGCAGAAACAAGGCAAAATCAACAATAATTTGGAAGATGGAGTTGTTATAATTCATAGCCAAGTTCGAAAAATAAGACAAGAAATGGAGAAAATTAAGTATCCAGCTTTAACGCAACCGGAGATCACCGGAAAACAGCAGCAGCAACGATCGAGATCGCCGCTTGGATTAGCTCATAGGCCTATTTCTGTTGGAAGTTAAACTGCTTTTAATTAGCGCTAAATCAAAGGTTGTGATGAGACAGTTACACGATCCATCCACCTTTAATCAGAAGTCTATCGAATCTTTTTTATCTTTTTTTCCTTTAGTTAGGGGCTATGGTTTAAAAAAATTAAAAAAAATTCTTCATAGTTTTGGGTTTTCATCTTTCTTATTATATATATATATATAGATTTGTACATATAGAAATTCTTTCTGTTTTTGTTTCGGTAATTTTGTCCCCTGCTTTTCTGGCTCTCTGTTTTTTTATTTTCTGATTTTGCAGAAATAGATCTAACTTCAGCTCTACATCTTCTATCGTAATTTTGGCAAATCGACACATTCAATGAAGCAATCAGTATGATAAATAAGTGTATTCTTTTTTTCACCTGATTAGGGCTCGATTAATTTGAATTCGTATAATTATTTTTGAGATGTGATGTTTTTTATCGAGATATTCACTATGATTATTTAACAATAACATATTCAATATAGAACGGAAAATGATATGATGTACGCAGTTGTTAAGACGTTGTTTCAAATTTGAATACTAGGGAGTAGGAGACCAAATATTCAAACAACATTCATATTTTAAATTTTGAATATTAGAGACTAAATATTCATTGGTGAAAAGTATGTTGAATGAGAGAAACGTTGTTTTTTTAATTTTCAACTTTTCAAAATTGGAAATTAGTGGGATGGAATTTAACAAAACATACCCCATCCTTTGTTTTTAAATTTCTCTCCATTTCTCTTTGGTGTGGTGGGGTGGGGTGGGGTGGGGTGTGGTGAGACAACACAAAATTGAAGTTTCTATGTCATCAATAAAAAAATGATTATGATTGAGGGATAAGTTGGTCATATTACAGTCGATTAAATTGATTTTATATATTATAGCATCTATTTATGAGGATGATGTATTGATGATTAAAATAAATAAATTTTAAGTCTGAATTATTCTACTATAACTCATGTTGATAAATATAAAAAAAAATTATGGCAAAGTGCTAGAAGTTTTTGTTAAATAATATTAGCATTCAAATGGCAAAAAAATAAAAAAAATCAAGTGCTTAAAAGGTTGTCTTAGCGTAGACATAGATCATGTCAAAAATCAAAATGATAGTGTAACTAATAAACTATAACTAATTCCTCAATTTAGTTAGAGTAAATTTCATGGGTGGTAAACCAATTTTGTATCCATTACCTAATTTTTTTGTTTTGTTGCACAAAAATTATTTAATTTTGTCTCATCTTTCATAAAAGTAATTTTAACAAAATTTGGTTAAAATCATACCTAAAATATAAGAGAAAATAACAAAAATATACCTTTTATTTGAGGATAGGTTCAAAATAATCTTTAATTAACTTTTGAGCAGTTTTGATCCACTACTTTGCTAAAAAAAATGAACCTTTTTTTTATTAAATATATCTAACTAACTCTACCTACTATGTAAATGCAATGCGTATATGTTGGGTTGTATATTTGTACACATTTCTCTTTAATATATTTTACTCACTTTTTTCGCATAGTGGTGGGTTTTTAACTTTGAAAAATACAGAACAGAGAAGTTTCATGTATATGCTCATAAGTTGACTTTTTTTTAGACACGGGTTCATAATCCGAATAAATTCTAAAATAAAGAGAGAAAAAATAGAGATAATAAATGAACGGATTGAATCAAATTTGAATAGAATAAGATAAGTTAAGATAATAAATATATGAGTTACACTGGCCTGCCTAAAAGTTAATTGAATTGAAATCATCGTTCATCAAACACGCCAACATAAAATTGCCATTATATACAAGGACCTCTTTAATGTGATTCTTGTAGGAAGCTTTTTGTGACCATTATCATATGCAACCTTAGTAAATTAGTCTAAATACATAACCACAATTATGGGGGAAACAACAAAAAAATTACAAATGGGAATCTCATTATGTTTAAGAATTGAAATAATTTAGAAATTGCTAATATGGAAACGAAAATTCAAAACCATATACCTCTCCAATTATCATCAAACATAATAATATTCATAAAATGGAATTTCAATAATTTACTAACAATTCTTTATAAAATTCTCTAATCCCATTTGCTCATCATTCCATAACTTTGAACTACATATAAGAAATTTTGAATATTAGAGACAAAATATTCAAACAACATTCCTCTTTTAAATTTTGAATATTAGAGACAAAATATTCATTGGTGAAAAGTATGTTGAATGGGAGAAACGTTGTTTTAAATTTTCAACTTTTGAAATTTGGAAATTAGTGGGATGGAATTCAACAAATCTAATGTATGAGGTTCTTTCCACATTTTAAAATAAAATAAAATAAAAAATCTCTCTCTTTTTTCCTTTTCTTTTTGGGTGTGTGGTTGAAGCAACTCATTGTCATGGGGTCACAAAATTAAAGTTTTTATAAGTCATAAATAAAAAATTAATCACGATTGAACGGCTAGGTGGTTATACATTACAATTTACAAATAAAGTAAACATTCTTAATTATTGAAGTCGATTAAACTTGAATGTATCTATGAAGACTATGTTTTAATTAAGAATAAAAGCGTTTTAAGTCCCCATCATTCCACCACAACTGATATTAATAAATATAGAAAATTTTATAACAAAATGCTATATTAAGAATGAAGGCATTTTAAGTCCCCATCATCATATTACATCTGATATTGATAAATATAGAAATTTTATGACAACGCTTATAAGTTTTTGTTAGATGGTATGAGCATTCAAACGGCAAAAAATATTTGTGCTAAAAAGGTTTCATTAGAGTAGATTAGATCATATCAAAAAGGATAGTGTAACTAAACTCTAACTAATTCCTCAATTTAGTTAAGATTATATTTCATAGGTGGTAATCCAATTTTGTATTCGTTACCTAAAGTTACAATTTTTTGTTTTGTTGCACACAATTTATTTATTTTTGTCTCCTCTTTCACAAAAGTAATTTTAATAAAATTTGATAAAAATCGTACCTAAAATATGAGAGAAAATAACAAAAATATACTATTTTGCTAAAAAATCAACCTTTTTTATTTTCATATATCTAACAAACTCTACCTATTAAATTTAACGTAAATTGAAAAAAATAATTAATGTAAAATAATTACTTATTTACCCTTTTCTAAAACACCATTTTGTTTAATTAATTTATAGACGTCTTTCCTTACCTTTTTAACATTATATTATTTTGTTCATACTATCAGTTGATCCAGTGGCAGGACCAAGATTTTCGTCAAGGGTGTTTATACTTTAGGACAAGTAAAAAAAATAAAACCTGTTGGTCAGATAATAAAGATAGGAACGTCACTTTTGTTTTCTTAAAAACGAAACTAAAAAAAAAATAAACAAAAAAATTCCCTAGTCTGGGCTCAAATCCAAGCCCTTGAGGTGACTTTGAATAGCCTTAACCATTGAGCTATCTTTCTTTAGTATGTCAAGATTGTTCCACGATTTGTATATATCCAAAAATATTGATATTTAACATATATACTCACAAAAAATTTCCAACAAAGATTGTTTATCTGACCACCCATGCTAAGGTGTAGCTCCGCCCCTGAGTTGATCATCAAGTGAACAAATATAATTTTATAATTAATTTTTTCATAGTTCTATGAACATTATAACATAACATGACACTGAATACTCGACATAAACTCAATAAGAGTAAAAGTGAACGGAAGGAGCAGAATAAAAATCATACAACAAAGCACACACGTACACTATTAATTGAGAGCTAAGTAATTTTTTCGTGACACCATTAGTGGTAACCTATGGTAGTTAGGGCTGATTCATAACAATTTGGAGCTCTAATCGGGGTTAATAAGGTAATCTATCATTATTGAATAATTTAAAAAAAAGTGAGTTAGGATTTAAAATTTGACTTTTGTGATAGATTTAAAATGAGTGTTGTTTAGACTTATTCGAAATATTTTAACAAGCTTGTCAACAAAATTTGAAATCATTTGATAAAATTTTGAATTTTGTTTTGAATGACAATTGCATCTGAAATCGTAGAAGTTGTTCGTCACTGTAACTAACAAAGTTTATGTATTTTTATAATTGTTATGCACTTTATATAAGGTTAATATATGTTTACACATTTTTATATAAGATAGATACACGATTCATAGTATATGAATATATAAAACATATTGTATATAACAGAGAAAAGACATAAAGTGACATCTGAAGTTGTCACAAATTTTTAAAAAGACACCTTAACTATGCGAACGTCCTATTACCCTCTAAACAATGTTGAACTGATATTATTATATCATTTTTTGTCCACTTGACATAAAAAGTGTATGCACTCCCTTTAAATAATATATAGGATATATACATTGATTGCAAAAAGATATTAGTTATGTAAATGTAAACTGAAAAATATATGGCTATATGTAAATGCAATGTGTATGTTTGGCGCTGTATATTTTCTATCAAGCTTCTTGATTCACATCTTGAAGTTTCATGTATATGCTTATAAGTTGACTTTCTTTTAGACATGGGTTCATAATTCGAATAAACTCTGAAATAAAAGGGGAAAAAAATAGAAGTGATAAATGAGGGATTGAATCGAATTTGAATAAAATAAGATAAATTAAGATAATAAATAGATAAGTTCTATTGACTTGCTCAAAAGTTATTTGAATTGAAATCATCATTTATTACTCTTTCTGTCCATTTTTAATTGTGATTTTTATTTTTAGAGTAAAAACTATAAGAACTTTGACTCACATTTTACGATGCATTTTTTCATCATATTGATATACAAAAAATTGCAATTTATAGTACTTTTCGTATAATTTTTTTATATCAATTTTTTGTGTGTAAATATCGAATTAATGTAATGATCTAAATTAACTTTGAAAAATAGTCAAATTGACTTTCGAAAAACGCAACATGACAATTAAAAGTGGACGGAGGTGGTATAATATTGCAATTATATATAAGGAACTATCTAATGTGATTCTTTCAAGAAGCTTTGGGACCATTTTCATATTTAACCTCAGTAAATGAGTCTAAATACATAGCCACAATTAGCTCAGAAAAAATAAAATACAAATGGAATCTCATAAGTGTTTTTACCAATTGAAATAATTAGAAATGCCAATATGGAAACGAAAATTTAAAACCATATATCTCTCCAATTACCATCAAACACAATAATATTCATAAAATGGAATTTCAATAATTTACTAACAATTCTTTAAATCCTCTAAATTTCATTTGCTCATCATTCCATAACTTGGAACTACATATAAGAAATTCTAACAACAATAAATTAAAAATAAAAGAGACACTATCAGAAAATTGCTAATTTTTTACGAAGATTCAAGATTTGACTAGTCATTGACGGATTTCGTCGAAAATTTCCATTGGAAATTAGCAATTTTCCGACCACAAGAACAACTATTCATCCTCCTTTTATCTTTTCTTTCTTTTTTCTATATAGAATTTGAATTTCTACTTCTCGAATCAAACATCTGAAATTAATAGAACACATAAAAGTACCTAATCAAATTTACACAATCCTAGCATCCGTTACGTCAAATCGAGAACCTTTTGCCATCATAATCTTAAACTCCTCGAAATTGATCATCCCATCACCATCACAATCAACACCACTAATCATTTTTCGACACTCCGCCAAGGTGCAATCCTCTCCTAGGCTTCGGAGAACGGTTAGCAACTCCTCGGCAGAGATGGACCCATTCTTATCCATATCGAACACCGAAAATGCATCCTTAAGGCTCTCAAGTACCTTAAAAATAAAAACATAAGACCTAAGTTTGACCTATTTTAAATAGTTCAATAATAATAATACGATTAAATATTTTTTTAAATTAACATATACCTCATTAGAATCGATATCCTTTGTATTAAGCTCGATAAATTCTTGCAAGTCAATGAACCCATCCCCATCCGAATCCACTTCACGTATCATGTTGACCAACTCCTCCTCCGTGGTGGGGTTCCCGAGGCTAGCCATGATGGACCCTAATTCCGATGAACATATCTTTCCATCACCATTCATGTCGAATTTTTTGAACACTTGTTCTAGTTCCTCCTCGATCCTTGCACGTGAATCTATCGAGGATACTCTCGATAAATTCACAGGCATTGGATTATTGTTGACAACGAAAGGATTTGCACTAGGGACACCTTTTTTCTTGATTTTGAACAAAGATTTCAACCCCATATCGTCAAGTTAAATTCAACAAATCAATGAATGAACGAATGAATGAATGAAATGAAATGAGAAAACCTTAATAGAATTTGTGATTTATTCTTTTTTGCAAGAAGATTAGATAGAGATTAGAGAGAGATAATTAAGGATCTTGTTAAAAGAATAATTCAAATTTATGTTTGGTTTTTTTTGAGATCTTTAAGGAATAGAAATTGAGATTTTGATGTTTTTTTTTAAGGTAAATTAAGAAATTTTATTATTACGTGCATGCACGACAAGGACTAATTTTATGAATTAGTTGTGATTTTAAAAAGGCTAAGGACAAGTGGAATATTTATAAACTATTTTAAGGAAAATATTTATATTTTTGGATTATACTTATTAATTTAATAGCTAATGATTTTTATAGTGATTTACTATTTATGTTGAATACATTAACTCCACATGTTTGACCAAACGTCTAGAAGATTAAAAGTTTTTTAAAAAAAGACGAAAAAAGTGGTTAATTATATTTGAGAGTAATAATTAAGGTGTTTGAAAATAAATATTTATAATCATAGCATAAGTTATTTTTCAGAAACGGAAAAAAATAGGATCTCTCCCAAATTAATTTTTGTCTTGATGAATTGATGCTCTAGTAATAGAAGGAATGTTTCTCAAATTGATTAATTAAAAACAAATTGTAACTCTTTAAAAGTAGTTTTCTAAAATTTACTTTGGACTACAATAATAATAAAAAAACATTTTAAAAATAAGTAAGTTTTGGAAGTTTGACCAAAACAGATTAAGAATCTATCTAGACTTTTAATGTGTAGTTTACCAAAAGTAATTTAGACTGAACTTGTATAAAATTTATGCTTAATGATTTTATAGTAGTTTATTTATGTAGGATACATCAACTGATTAGTTAAATATAAACTCTAACTTTTTAAAGGCACTTCTAAAATTTATTTATGACAAAAAATATTTTTTGAAATAAGCAAATTTTAAAAGTTTGACTAAATGAATTGAAGGTTATCTAGACTTTGAAATAAGTAGATTTTGAAAGTTTGACCAAATAAATTTAAAAGTTATCTAGACTTTAATGTGTTTATTTACTAATACAATTTAGATTGATTTACTTATATAAATTCATTTTGAAAAATTAAGTTGATATATACTTTTTTTTAAAAGTTAGTTGTAAATTGGATTCATAAATTTTCATCACGTTTGACTAAATAAATTTAAAGTTATCTAGACTTTGAAATAAGTAAATTCTGTAAGTTTGACCAAATAAATTTAAAAGTTATCTAGACTATTATGTTTGTTTACTAGTAGATTGATTTACTTATATAAATTCATTTTAGAAAAAACAATTTGATATATACTTTTTTTAAAAGTTGGTTGCAAAGGACTACAAATTTTCATATGTTATCTTAAAATATGGGATTAGAGGATATGAACCTCCACAAAGCAAAAATAATGTTTGAATGCACATTATTTATCATCAAATTTCACTTATAAAATTATATTGAGTTCGTTAATATTGTCTTGCGTTCAAAATTTATTTTTATTTTTATATTTATTTATATTACTTATCGGAAAAAAATATGAACAAGAAGATAGAAGATATCCCTATTGCATTCGGTGCACATTAGGTAAGAGAACTTACTTAACCAAAAGTTTGAAAGGATATATACAAATATACATAGTGGATATAGCTTAACAAACATTTTTGTATATATCTTCGAACCAAAAAAAAATATAAGTAACAAAGATTTAGATTTTTTTTATATAACTATCTGATATTCGATATATACTTATCCAAATACATTATTATTATTATTTTAAAATATCAATCGATCCAGGTCGGTTTTTTATGACTTGTATATAGAATAGCATTCAACAAATATATGTTGATGCCATGACTGAATCATAATTGAACACGTGTAAAAAAATGGTTCTGCTAAATTAAAATTGTTGTCCATTAACAAATAATGGCATGGATAAGCATTTTTCACAAACGAAAATGACATAATGAGCCAAACTTATAATGGATGACATAAGATTACATATTTGAGCTTTTTCCTTTTATAAATAAATAAAAAATAATAAAATTGATTAACCCACATCCATTGTTTTTATGACTTGTATATAGAATAGCATTCAACAAATATATACAAGTCATTAAAAAACTTAAATAAGTATCTATGCCTTGGTATAATTGTTTTTAAAAGAACTATAGCTTATCGCTAATCATGAGGAACTACAATTTTTCGCATTGAAGCTTTGATTAATGTTACGTACACCAACATATTAATGTTTATTTATAATTAAAAGACTATTGAATGATTAAATACTACGAATTCATCAAAGATTGATCATATTCTTACTATTTTACACTAAACATAGTGGAGCTAGCTCACATCATTTTAAAATTCTGAATCCGTTACTGGTCATAGAAAGATGTACTACATATTAAAGATTACAAAGGTTTGAGTTATGAAAGAGACTTAAGGATCCTATTGAAGAGACTTTGTATAAAGAAAAGGTTATTATAGAAACTAAATTATGTCTATCTTGTGAAAAAAAATCCCAAGGTAGCACTCACTAGTCACAACAATTCATGTATATATGTTGAGTTTATTCAAAATCAAATCCAACTGTAGAGATCATTTTTCAATAAACTAAACCAAAACCAACCAACCTAGCAAAATTTAAATTTGTTTTAAATTCCAAAAACTACCAAGAGTTAAAATAAATAGACAAAAGCTTATGACAGGACAGATACATGGGTTTATAATTTAGTACATTTGATTGCAATGAATATGTGGTCATATGAATGATAAGATTACAAATGAAGTTATCCGAGCTAATATGAGAAGGACCTCAATGTAGGATAAGGTGCGAGAAGCGTGACTAAGATGGTTTGAGCATGTAAAGAAAAGATGTACGAACACTTCTATGTGGAGGTATGAGAGATTGACTATGAATAACTTAATGAGATGTTGAAGAAGTCAAAAAAGTATTGGGGATAGGTGATTATATTGTACATTACGCAATTTCAAATTACCGAGTACCGACCTTAGATAGAAGGTTGTGGAGGACACGAATTAGGATGAATGTTTGGTAGTAGTAGAGAGTTGTCTCATTTATCTTTCCATACTAATAGTCGTAGTACTATTCAAAGAGTTCCTTAATGTCTATTGTTCTTTTGCACTTTAATTATCGTATTATTGTGTTGTAGTTATGTTTCTTCTTCTTCTTTTAAGAATGTTTTGACTTGCTATCTACAGAATTTTTCCATGACTCCACTACTCCTTCCCTCAGATTAATTCTTTTTTCAACTTGCTTTGAATTATATTTTCCTTGAGCCAAAGATCTATCGAAAAGACTAACAGCACTATTTCAAAAGAAACATGGGAAATATCACAACAAGCTTTGAGAATTATTCAAATCCAAGTAATAAGAATGGGATGAAGGATAGAGTTTTCATAATACACAAAACTGTATCTTTCTTTGTAACAGAAGACACTTTTTATCTCCTATGCATCTACCACTTCATCCATGCCCAAAGTATTCCGCATTCACACAAGGTTCGAGGAAGAGCCACATCCCAAAAGGGTGGGGTGTGATGTAGACAGTCAGTTTACGGCTCTAACCCGTAACCTACAGGTCTCACATAGAGACAATTTCAATGTTATTCCAAGGCTCCCCTTCAACAAAAAATAACATAACCACATGGGCTAATTTTACCTTTTAATATCTTTCAAAAACTTTTTAAAATAGCTTTGGAATATCCAAGCTAAAAGTAATATCTCTTTCTCCACTTTTTTCCAACTCAATGAATTTTGACAAAACAAATAACTAGATATACAATTTACAACTTAGCGGAGCTTGACTATGCTTTCCAAAAAAAGAAAAAGAAAGCAAATCAAGATTGCTGTATAAGAAACCTTGATTAGGAGAAAGAGTAAACAATCAGAGTTGCAACTGTACTGGGGCTCTACGCCATACGCTTGAAGAAGTCCCGTTCAAGTCCTGTTGCTGCGGCAGATTGTTTTGATTCTTCTGGTCTTCATAACTCCTGAATTAAGATAGGTTCAAGCTAAGATTCTAATGCACTCAAAGAGAAAAACTTAGGAAGGAAAGGAAGGTTTATTCAATAATCAATATAATAGAGTATATGGGTCTCAGAGCTTCGGCTCAGTGGTGAAAGAATCACAAGTATGTGATGTGTGAGTTAAGGCACATCATGGACTCAAACTTAAAGTCTAGTATTTAAGTTGGGAAAAAGGGTAGAGGAGCAGGGCTGTACTGCCAGGAGTTCTGAACTTGTGCACCAACTGGAGTTGGATAGAAGCCCACCTGGAATTTCTCCGATATAAAAAAGACGCACACATAATAGATATATGGAATTTCACAATAATGAAACACATACAATCCTCATTACAAAGCACTTGTTTATCGCGAATGCAACCCGCACCAATATATCTATCAGTTGTCATGGACACATAAAAAGCACAACCCAAAAGTCCAAGAACTCTTTTTTTCCATACTCAACCCAGATAGACAGACAAGCAGTCATCGCGGTGGAAATAATTAACTACCTTAACATATAGGATATTTCTAGCCTTAGGTATTTAACTCTTGGACAAGTATCAGAGTGCAATATGCAACCAAAATATTATCAGCAAAATAAGTAGACATTATGAAGCACACAAACCTTCATTGATGAAGCAGAACTAAATCGTGATTGAGTCTCTGATTTTAAGTGCAAACGATGCTGCTGCTGAATTTGCTTAAAATGCTTCAGCCTAGAACCAAAGTTTATTCCGTTGTGCATATCATGTGAATTCTCATTTGGGTTGCCATCCTCGGAAATTTGTAATCCACCTCCGCCATTGAAAAATGGAATCCCAGACGATGTTCGTGCAACTTTCTCTTCCTTGAAGGAGTATGAAGGAACAGTTTTCAACCGAGTACGAAGAATCTTGAAGGCTGCACTTTGCTACATGAATTGATAAAGAATA